AAAACAAGATACTAATAACAGTTCCTTGGATTTACTGGGGAAAAACAACATTATTGCCAAGACTAGAGTATGAGAGTGAGGCTAACACATATGTTGCCAAAAAGATTGCTCACCAATGTCTATGTCTCACAAAACCTAGTGGCTGGAAGTCACTAGCATTTCCTTTCGCAATTTTATTTCTTTTAGAAGTAAAATACTCTTTGGACTGAGGAGTTTTAATGAGTTTTGCCCAGAGTAAATATGGTTGCACAAGAAAGGTGGAAACAGCTTATCTTTCCATTATGCAGAGATTAAGAAAATGTTGTATGGAGATACTTAGTCATAAAGAGCTTTAATAATTTATCCTAGCTTGGGGCTGGAAGAGATTTCAAAATGGTATGTTGATGTCATCACTCAGACATCACTAGATTGGTCATGTGGTGCTGAATACATTGTATGGCTGGAATATTTTCAAGTCAGCCCATGTGAATTGCTTGAGTAAAATGTGGACTAACTTCATCTCAGTTATTCTAGAAGACAGGAGGGGAAAGAGATTCAACTCCATATAGCAAGAATGAAGAGCAATGCTTACACAAACCCTGTACTTCTCAGGTATTTGTCAAGAGTATTGTGACTAAATAGTAAGAAAAGTTTATAATGGAATATAATATTTTAATCAATTGAATGCTCAAGTGAAGTAATGTAGATATGTTTGTTAGTTACTTTGAATTTATAACTATCAAGAGATTTATATGTAGTCCTCTTATAATCCTCACCCAGACAATGAGATGAGGGATTGCTGTTCCCATTTTATGGAAAAGGAAACTGAAGCACAGAAGCATTACATAGCTTGCCCAGGGTTGCACAGCTAGCGAGCAGCAAAAACAGTATCTAAACCCAGGTCTATCTGCATCTGCAGCTCAAATTCTAGTCTTTGAACTTCTTTCAGTTTCAGTAATGACCTCGCAGTGAAAGATCTGTGCATAAGCCATTGCTCTTCTGAGGAATATAGGTTTTACTGATTTCTAAGTTACTTGTGACAGCTAGGCTTTTAACTTCCTTCTTTCTGCTTGCCTCTGGGGACTGGGCTCTCATTCTCTCTTCTTTTGAGCCTCCTCATGCTCTTTTTCTTATGGACCATCTCTTTTCCACACATACATGGTGAAGTTTCCCTTATATTTAATAATTCTTTGCTTGACTCTTATGTACCTTTTAGTAATTATCCTATTTCTCTCCTTTCTACAACAAATAGTCTCTTTAGCTGCAACTTCATGGACCTTACTGCCTGCCTTCCCAGTCTGCTGACATTGAACTAGCACAGGGCTAATTCATGATCGCTATGATCTACAGGCATGATCTCTAACCATCAAACCCAGAGGTCTTCCCAGACTGTTCCTTGCCTTGACCTTTCTGCAGCATTTGATTTTGCAGACCACCCTATTTCTGCAAGGAAATTGCATGTACACATTAGTCACACAAAAATGTATTAAATTCTTAATTAAATGAAATATTAAAATATTTTCTGAATTCTTAAATACATTGTATATATGGCTAAAGACCAGACATTTTTTACATGTGAACATTATATATATTTTTTAATTAATTTTTTTATTAAGGTGTCATTGATATACAATTTTATAAAGGTTTCACATGAGCAACATTGTGGTTATTACATTCACCCATATTATGAAGTCCCCCCCACATACCCCATTGCAGTCACTATCCATCAGCAGAGTAAGAAAACATACTTACATATTTTAAAAGAATTCACAAGAAAATGATTCTGATTAAGGAAACTGCCAACATTGTAGTAACATTCCTCTTTTGCAGAGTAAGGAATAAATTCAATTGTTTTTAAAGAAATATTTTTTAGATTAATATTTTTAAAAATTGTAGGCATACCAAATATAAAATTTAACTCAAAATGGATCATTGGAGTTGTGACTATAGTTAACAATACTATTTGTATATTTGAAAGTTTCTACTAAAGTAGATCTTAAAAGTTCTTATAAGAAAAAAATTTTCTAACTGTGTGATGATGGATGTTAATAAAACATATTTTGGTAATTATTTTGTAATATATATAAAATTATCCTCACCTAAAACTAATACAATGTTATGTTATAGATGAGTTTTTAAAAAGGATCATTGGCCTAAGTGCAAGAGCAAAAGCTATAAAATTCCTAGAAGAAAACATAAAAGTCAATCTTTATGACCTTGAATTAGGCAATGGTTTCTTAGGACACCAAATGCAAAAACAACAAAAGGAAAAATAAATCAATCTTCACCAAAATTAAAAACTTCTGTGCTTCAATGGACACCATCAAGAAAGTGAAAAGACCACCATGGAATTTGAGAAAATGTTTGCCAATCATGTATTAGATAAGGAACTTGTATTCAGAATATATAAATAACAGTAAAAGATAACCCAATTAAAAACTGGGCAAATGATTTGAATAGACACTTCTCTAAAGAAGATAATACAAATGGTCAAACAAGTGCATTTTGAAAAGATGTTTGACATCATTAATTATTAGAGAAATGCAAATCAAAACCATGATATACCACTTCATACCCATTAGGATAGCTAAAATTAAAAAGACAAACAATACAAATGTTGGCCCACAATGAGATATCACTTCAGACCCATTAGGATTATTTAAAAAAAGAAAAGAGAGGAACAAGTATTGCCTAGGATGTAGCAAAATTAGAACTCTTGTACATGGCTGATGGGAATGTAAGATGGCATAACTACTATGGAAATAGTTTAGTGGTACAGTGCTGTGAATACAGCACCTCAAAAAATATTAAACATTGAGTTACCATATGATCTAAGAATTACCCTTTAGGGTATATATCTAAAAGAGTTGAAAGCAGAAACTCAAAACATGGGACCCATGTTCATAGCAGCATTATTCACAATAGCCAAAAGGTGGAAGCAACCCAGGTGTCCATCAATGGGTAAATGGATAAACAAAATGTGGTATATTCATAAAAAAGGAATATTACTCATCCTTGAAATGGAAGGAAATTCTGACATATGCTACAACATG